TATAATCGGTTCAGTGCTTTAGGAGTCCATTGAGGACAAACATTGTGACACGAGATTTATATATATTAAGATGTACAGTATATGTATTCTATCCGTTACCCTAGTATCCCATAACACAAGCCTTACAGTGCTTACTTTGGGGCTAGGCTAATTGGTGTGTGTTGGAAATATTTATTTGTACATAAATTCACATGAATGAAATGACCTTTGAATTAGATAAAGCATAAAACATGCAGCAGCATAAATTCATATATCCATCATTGTCATTATCAACCTATCAGAAATCAATATATCTTTATTCAAATTGGATGTACAGTATAACTCTTTTGAGTCGTCCAAAAAAAAAATTATTTTTAGCTGCGGAGAATAGAATAGAAAAAAGAAGAATTTGTAACAACATTTATAAATCATTATGTTGTTACGTCGTCAATACAATCATGATTTATTTTATATAGAAAACCTGTTGGTATGATTGCACCTTGATTGAAAAAAAGTATGGTTGAACTTTGGTCGAACTACAAAAAAATAAGACGTTGCGTTGCTTGAAACCTTTCTTAAACTCGTGTTCAGAGGGTCAATAGGGATGATGACTATTTTTTTTTCTTCGTTTATAAGGTAGATTATCAAAAAGTATTGGACACGTATTTTTTCTTTTTTCACATATTATAAACATTGCAGAGATATATTGATTTGAAAAGCCGCATGACGTCACGTTTGAGTACACTTATAAGTGAAAATTCACTCAAAAGTGACGTCACGAGCCCCTACTCCCAAACTTTGACGAGCTATAACTTTGCAATTTTTTGTTTGATTGCCCAAAGAAAAAATACGTGTCCATTATTTTTTGATCATCTAACTGACGGACTAAATAGAATTTCGTTTACTGTACCCCGTCATCACCTCTATTGCCTAAGGGAATTGCTATGACTGTGACCGCATCTGATACCCCATGGAGTCCTGGAACCTTACCCACCGTCAGAAACACAACACTACCAAAAGTTAGTGTTTAGCTCCTCGCACATTAGACGGCCACGACCACGACCAGTGGTCGCAGCAACCATACTTACTAAAGAAACCCTATGAACATCGCTTACTTGGCCGCACGACCAACTGAGCGCACACTGGGCCGCTACGGCTGGTCGTTGCCACCAATTTAGGTATAGTTTGCTATGAGCACTCGCGCACTAGGTCTGCGAACATGAATGCGGCCTAACGGGATTGCTATAGCTATCGCTTACGATTTTGTTATTTCTGACCGCCGAAAGTTTTTACGCTCATTTTCTTTAATATTGTTATTACCAAAGCAAAAGAAATAAAACGGGCGCGAGCCATTTTTGAACCTTCGCCGGCCAGAAATAACAAAATGAAATCGTCAGCGATAGCGATAGTTATAGCAATCTCGTTAGGGGATTGCCCCCCAGGCCGCGAGCAGCTATTCTCAGGTTCCGTATTATAGAAAGATTCTCAGTGTTTGATCTAGTCTTGAGCATAGTTAGAAAGGGATGTCGCTATATATAGCACATAGCGATATCCCTTTCTAACTGTACCCAAGTAAAGCCAGAAACATATTAACGTGTCGTGGCGTATCGGTTTCATACATTTATTATGGGTTAGAGAGAGATAGAGAGGTTAAAGCGTCGACACGACACGATACGTAAATATGTCTCTTACCATCGTAAATGTATGAAACCGATGTGCTTCTGGCGCGCCACGACACGACACGTTAATATGTTTCTGGCTTAAAGATCAACACTTAGTTGTCATTCTGTAATACGGGCCTCAGAGTCATGCGGACAATTCGTAAGTCAATACGCTTTGTATCGTTTCGCAACTTATTACGACAACGTTTTATTCTGCAATGAGTTTTGATTCAGAGTACATTATTAACGAATTATAGAAACGACAAGCAATATGGCCGCCTGGATGTGGTCGTAAACTTGGCTACAACCCAACCGTAGCTTCTGCGACCAAGGTTGCGGCCACGGCCACGACTAGCCGTGATTTGTAAGGGCGCTTTCCCACTATGCTGTGACGTATAAATAATAAATAAATAAATAAACATTTCCAACACTCACCAATTAGCCTAGCCCCAAAGTAAGCACTATAAGGCTTGTGTTATGGGATACTAGGGTAACGGATAGAATACATATATGACCCTGTCATAAGTAACGTCATATTTTAAGCGTGTGGCAGTTTATAATGTTAACTCAATCACTATGGCAAATGTCAGTCAGTCCAGTCAAGCGAGATATTCGTGAAATCGTGGTGAAGTTATTATACCAATTAATGATTGATTCTTCTTGAAGTAAAATACCCACAAAGCCTTTAATAATAATAGAATAAAGATGAGCTGAATGGTTTTTCGAGCTTTAGTTATCTATTGATAAGAATATATTTGATGCTTTGGCAACAAACAGTACAAAAATAAAGTAAAAAAATATGTATTTAAAAATAATATTATTAAAAAACAGGGATAAATAAATTCCAGTCTTTTGTCAAACGGCTTACAATTGAGGGCACTACAAGTCACAAAAATAAACAAGCGCCCACGCTTCAATTTGTCGTCACGACATACCTAATGGGAACGTGTCCTAAGGTTAGGGGTTGCTTCCACAGATTGGCGCTGCTACTCAAGCGGAAAATCTGCTATGCCACGCTCTCTTAAATAAAGACGCCAGCAAATAGATGATAAAACTGTTGAACAGACAAATTATAAAGAATTAGATTCATTATTATTGCTAGGTTTAAGAATATTGATGGTATAAGAATAGTGTTTGGAACAGTCAGGTCTCCTATCTAATGATAAACTCGAAATACTTGACAAGACGTTTAATTATGTATAAATTACAATAATTGAATGATAGAAATATTTGTATGCGTATTGTGCGCCGTATAAAATTCGAATATGCGTGTCTTCTTCGCGGCTTCTTTCACCCGTTACGTTTCGTTTCCCTTCTTGTGCAAATTGATGGAGACACAAGCGTCGACAAATAGTCTTATGTGCCCTAACACTACACCTGCTGTAAGTAGCTGAGTAGTTGAGTCTTTGATGCTGTGCCATTATTCAAAGGTGACCAGGTCCTGGAAATACCACAAAAGTGAAATTTCACCCAAATCTAAATCAATAGAAACTGTGATATTAATAAGACGCTTAATTTAATTGGGAAATCCGCTGATGATCTTCAAACTCCTGAACAGATCTTCATAATTTATCTATATATATAAAACTCAAAGGTGACTGACTGACATAGTGATCTATCAACGCACAGCCCAAACCACTGGACGGATCGGGCTGAAATTTGGCATGCAAGTAGATGTTATGACGTAGGCATCCGCTAAGAAAGGATTTTGATCAATTCTTCCCCCAAGGGGATAAAATAGGGAATGAAAGTTTGTATGACACTTTGTCAATTTTAAACCGATCGGGCTGAGACTTTGCATGGGGGTATAAGAAGAATCATAGATCATAGATAATCATACAAGCCTGAGAACAAAAACTGTAGTCTACATTTCAGCTCGACACCGAAGCGAAGCGAGGGCGGGCCGCTAGTTATGTACTTATGTAACTTTTCACAAACCTTGTCAAATAGCCTACCCATATATCTAACATCACCATTCGCAAAGCCTAGAACAAATACCTACATAAAAATATAACAAACAAACAAGGCAGTTATGATGTAGGCATCCGCTAAGAAAGGATTTTGATCAATTCTACCCCCAAGGGAATAAAATAGGGAATGAAACTTTGTCAATTTTAAACCGATCGGGCTCAGACTTTGCATGCAGGTATAAGAAGAATCATAGATGAATGTCATTGTGTATAATACAAGCCTGAGAACAAAAACTGTAGTCTACACTTCAGCTCTACACCGAAGCGAAGCGAGGGCGGGCCGCTAGTTATTCATATAGCTAAGAACGATCTCGAACAAGCCAGATTTCAAATAAAAAAAAACCCGCTTCCAAATCGGACCGTTCCTTTAGGAGATACAAACCACATATAGACACACAGACAAGTCAAACTTATAACACATCTCTTTATTCGTCGGGTGTTAAAAATTAACCTGTCTGTCATAAACTGTTTCAACTATTAGTGAGCCCAGAATCCCAAAAGATAAACAATCAAATTACAATAATGCCCGACAATTTCTAGGTCATTATTGTAATTTTATTGACACCTTTAATCAATTGATTATTTGGTTGGCGTTCGTTTATTTATTATCTTTGATGATTAATTATCTCGGACACAGGCATATTTATTTTAATTAACATATTAAAAGCTCTTTTGAATCGTCCAATATTTTTTTGTACCACCCATTCAGGACATCTTAGCTGATGAAAAGAATGGGCGCAAGAAACTCATCAGCATTAGAAAAAAACTTTAGCCACAAGTCGTACGCGGTGTATTTCATTGACCATACTGGTTTTGTTTTAAAATATGTTTGGATTTTACACAAAAGAAACAAATAGAATGTGCTTTCTCCCTCAGGAAATATATCACCACACCAAAGCCAAACACACCGATGCAAATGATACAGAAATTCTTTCCAAGTCCGATTGCGTAACCTCCAACATGTTTCTTTGAAAGACTTTGTGATCGAAAATTGAAAATATTGCTGTTCTTATTAACATTCAAAGAGATCCCCTATATTTTAATTTGAATTGATAAAAAAAATGAGAAAAATGAAACAGGATGCATTAACTAACATATTCACACAAACATGCCATTTGTCAATGATGCAATTCAAAATCCTAATATACAAAATATACCTAAATGCGAAAAAAGAAAAAAAATAGTAACAAAACTTATTTCCACAAATAATCTTAACAACATTCTGAGTGACTGATGTCGAGCGTAACCAGCGTAACGATCTTGAACCTTGATCCGCCTTTTTAAGGTCTCAAGTTGTGAAGGCTCGTGCGCTATTCCCACGCGGTAAAATAGCCTTCTCCTTCCCGTTCTTCAATGTTTTTTTCCAATTTTCTTTTCCCCGACGTCATTCCGCGCGCCGTTTTCATTCGGTGCGCACGCATAACCCGCTCTCTCGCACCCGTGACCTAAAACACGACCAGTGACGATAATATTGTGCAGTTCGTATCGCAATATAACTTAGAGCGGGATGTTTTCGCATTACTCATCGTGCCGCAATTATTGTTCCATACGTTTTATCAACAAACAGTCGAGTGGCAACAACGCTGGAAGAATGGCGCGGTGAAAAAAAAGGGGAAACAGTGAAGCGAGGAATGTGTAACTTTCCGGGATGTCCGGACCAAAATAAAATCTCCAAGTCGGATGTTAATGTACAGGAACATTTTCCGGAGCTGTGATTTGAAAAACTTTACATATTTACTAATTCCTATAAATGCCTTGTTATCTTGTTTAAAGATCGGAGTGCTTTAAAATGCAGTGCGTAATGCAGTTCAGTTGATGTTCGACGTTTTGCTAAGTAGAGAGATATGTTTATGCGACAATCGAAGAATTGCTGCACTCGACACACATGCTCGACAAGTGTTTATTTATGGCATTGGATTTTATATGACGCCAGCTGAATCCGTACAAAGTTGCACCGGCACGTGTAGTGTGTCTTCGGGGAAACAGTGTAGTGTCATCGGATTACAAAGTGCAGTAATTACATATGTGATGCAAGATGATGTGGCCTTCGTCTCAAGCTAGCAAATTGTTAACTCTCCTATTACTCATTATTGTTATCTACTGTGTAAATATGGACACTTTCCTATTTTTAAGAATTCAGAATTATAAACTTGACATTTTTGAGTTGCGGGAAAATTCTACAATGCAAGAGACCTCTACGCGCAAAGTTGACACCTTAGCTGATTATGAGGAAGTTACTTGGGTTTCGTGCAGGATAAATCCACTTTGCCATCCGACTGTGAAAGGGCTGATGGTGGACCACATAAACCATTACATTTACGGTCCATTAAGTGCCATAGTCGATATAAGCATACAGCTATCAGACAAGCTGTTAATTATAACACCGAATATGATATCTTTATTTCACGTGTTTGTCGCGATTATTGGTGCTAATCTATTGACATGTCCAAATCTGGCTGTCCGGCGCGTAGCAGTAGTATTGTTTCAGATTAGAATGTTTCTAGATGACCTTGATGGTCATGTGGCCAGAGAAAGGAAGCATATCAAAGGTGAGAGGTCAGAAGTAGGCTCGTTGGGCTACTGGGTCGACGGAATCTGTGATTTAATAGGTGTAGTTTCCATGATGGTCGGCATAGGGTTGTATTTAAAGAACAATCCGCCTAGAAAGGGTTACAAGGGCACCCCGGTAAGCACTCTGCCTTACCATCAACTTAAAGAGATAAATTCCACTGAAGATATCGAGAAGGATAGTTCTGTGGAGATAGGAATCTCGTACAAGACAAAAGTCACGTTTCAGAGGGTGGTTCAAGTGATAGGACTGTTTTCCGGTCAAATGGTGTTATCGTCACTCGCGTGGAACAGGTATATTGACGTGTATCAAGAGCTACTCGAGAACTGTACTGAGTATGACGTGTTCAAAAGGGTGTCTAGCTTTAAATCTGGGTCATTTTTCTCAGCGACGCTGATGTGGAGAATTGTAAATCCGCACAGCTATTTACATCTCCTTTCCTTCGCTATTTTCTGTGATAAAACATGGGGTTTCCTGAAATCTATCCACTATTTCGGTTATTTAGTTCTAGTGTTTGCTGTCGGTATGTCCGAGTATTATATTGAATGCATCAAGACTTACATATTGGGTAGTTCTGAGAATTTATGATAGTTTAAGTGTTTATATTTGTTGGTTTACGTAATGAAATTGTACGTGTTGTTGAAAAGGGTTTGGGAGGAATTCCGAATTGTCGCTGCCCCGCAAATAATTCAGTATCGGAAGCTTCCAAAGCGATTAATAATATAATACATAGTATATTAATACGACTCGTTGATTTATCAGTAATTTATTGTACATAAAGACTTTGAAAGATCATTCTTGTTTGTCAACTAAGTACCTAGTTTAAGAAGATAGTAATATATTTTTGGTGATTTAATTCATTGATTGTCAGTGTCACTGTGTTATGCATGTTTAATGTGATTTCAATATTATAAAAATAAAATATTGTCAATTGGCTGTGGAATAAGTATATTTTCGTTAGATTTGAACGTTGGTATTACCCAAGTAACATTAACTTAGTTTATAACCAATAAACTTGTAAGTAGGCTTTTTCTGTCCAACAACATGAACTTACAACACAGAACCGATAAGATTGGAAAGTAGAATAATTGCTTCGTAAAATACTTGCAAGATTAAAAAATATGTGTACTGTAACGTGCTTTAATTTGGAATAAACTTTTATAAAATATGGTTAGAACACTCAAATGCATATTGCAATAAGCTCGAAATCTTTGGTTTAAAAGTAAGCGTTGAAATGTCAAGTAAAATATTGAATGTCTTATTGTATTTATTGACACTGTTGAGTAATCAATAATGCTCTCGGGAATCTTGCAAGGTTGTCATTTCGTTCAAAAAATTTTGTGTTAAAAACTTATGCATATATGTGCATAAAATTAGAAATATAATAATATTTATGTTATTTATGTAACATTCTCATAATCGATTTTAAAAATTAAACTATCACTAATTGAACCTTTGGTGGTTACTTATCTTAATAATGTCTTGCAAGTTCACGTAACTATTGTTGCCTTACATAACCAACATCATGTCTTAAAAATATTTTCACATTAGCATAACTTATGAATATATACGTGATTGCATTAGCATAATTTATATTTGATGTTGATTCTGGTGGAATTGAATAAACGAAGAATATGATTTTTCTAAAGAATTGTGTTTTATATTATCTGCTCATTAGGATGTACTTTGATGCAATGCTCAACTGAGAGCTAAATATATATTTGTTTGCTATCATGTACATAAGTAAACAGATGTTATAATAAAAACAGATTTTCCTGCTGCGCATACGTAAACAATTCATTAATTGACAGCTCATTAGCTGTCAACATTCGTGCTTATGCCTTCCTTCCTGCTCCGACCTTTGAATCTATCAACAAAAAGCAAAGAGTTCTTTATATAAGGGTGTATTCCGAAATATACACTGGTGCCCTTAGTACAAGTTTGAGCTCACGAAAACTATCATAGTTTTCGTAATTGTAAATTATGTTTCTATGTCCATTTTGGTGAAAAGTAACCAAATATACTTAAAAGTTAAGAAGACGCAAATGATTTAATGATAGAATTTAAACACTGTTTATTTGTTTTGAAACGAAAACAATAAAATCAGTATACTTAGTACGAGTGCGAGCTCACGAAAACTATCAGTTTTCGTAATTGTAAAACTCGTACTAAGGGTACAGTACGCTGGCCAGCGGTAATGACGTCATGATTTCGACACCATATTGAAAACACTACTACTATACCAGTGCAATATGGCATCGAAATCATGACGTCATTACCACTGGCCAGCGTACTGGTTTATATTTCGGAATGCACCATAATGTACTACGTTACGTCATAACAGCGCCTATTACGAGGTGTCAGCTTTTACAGCAAACAAAAAGCGGCTAAGTGCGAGTCAGTCTCGCCCATGAAAGGTTCCGTAGCAGCAGGTAACATAATTGGCTGCATATGCAGTCGTTAACACCCACCAATCCGCACTGGGCCCGCGTGGTGGGTCATGGCCCAATCTCCCTATTCCAACCATAGGGAAGGCCTGTGCCCCAGCAGTGGGGACATTAATAGGCTGATGATGATGATGATAATGAAGTAACATAATTTAAAAGTTCTTGGAGTTCGTTGTAACTTTGATCGATGTTTTAATATTGTAACACTAACCCCTGTGAGGAGCTCGATGGCGCAGGTGGTTAGCGCGTTCGGCTGCGATCGTTGAAGTTAAGCAACTTTCGCAGTGGTCGGTCATTGGATGGGTGACCAAAAATTTACTATCTTGAGCTCCTCCGTGCTTCGGAAGGCACGTTAAGCCGTTGGTCCCGGTTGCATCTGCAGTCGTTAGCACCCACCAATCCGCACTGGGCCCACGTGGTGGGTCATGGCCCAATCTCCCTATTCCATCCATAGGGAAGGCCTGTGCCCCAGCAGTGGGGACATTAATAGGCTGATGATGATGAACCCCTGTGTAAATGATTTAAATTCTGACAATTCATGTCAGTGTTCTGCCGGGAAGGGACTTGTTAAGCTTAGTAAGAAGAACTTAAAAAGATATTATGTTAAAGTCAGAAGGTATATTTTAAAAAAAGGAAAGTTATAAATAAAGAAAATTTTTTTTATAGAAATATTGAGTTTTTTAAAGAACGTACACAGTTACTACAAAAATTAGATATTTACCGTTCCATAATTGAAGAAAATAGATTAACATATGAACAAAATATGGTGTCATTTATTCTCATTCATTTTCAATAAAAATGTATTTTTTTGAATTGATTTGCGATTAATGACATTTTTAAAAAAGCTGCTTACTAGATCTCGTTCAAATCAATTTTCGGTGGAAGTTTGCATGTTAATGTACATCATATATTTTTTTAGATTTATCGTTCTCTTATTTTAGAAGTTACAGGGGGGGGGGCACTTTTTACCACTTCGGAAGTCACCCTCGCACAAACTTTTCAGTTTAGAATAAAAAAAAATATTAGAAACCTCAATATTATTTTTGAAGAGCTATCCATAGATATCCAACACGTATGGGTTGAGAAAAAAAATATTTTTTTGAGTTTCCGTTCTAAGTATGGGTTACTTCCAAAATTTCTTTATTTTTTTCTATTTTTGTGTGAAAATCTTAATGCGGTTCACAGAATACATCGCCATACCAAGTTTCAAGAGTATAGTTCTTATAGTTTCGGAAAAAAGTGTCTGACAGACGGACAGACATGGCGAATCCATTTAAGGGTAACGTATTTTGCCATTTGGCGACGGTACCCTAATAAAGCTTGGGTTTGAACGAAAGCAAATCGTCCCGACCATCTGATTGGTTTTATATAGGGTTCGGAATTATCAAGATTACACTTTTTGATTGAAACACGATTTGGAATGTTTTTTACTTACAAATGCATAATAATTCGTATGAATCTAAAAATACGGCTAATCTTTATATTAGGTTATTATTTAAAAAATTACAAATACAGTTAAAGTCAGATTTAGTAAAATCTTTCGACATTATATTGTAAATAATATAATAGGGGTGATGACGGGGTACAGTAAACGAAATTCTATTTAGTCCGTTAGTTAGATGATCAAAAAATAATGGACACGTAATTTTTCCTTGGGCAATCAACCAAAAAATGTCAAAGTTATAGCGCGTCAAAGTTTGGGAGTAGGGGCTCGTGACGTCACTTTTTAGTGAATTTTCACTTAAAAGTGTACTAAAACGTGACGTCATGCGACTTTCAAATCAATATATCTTTGCAATGTTTATATTATGTGAAAAAAGAAAAAATACTTTTTGATAATCTACCCGATAAACGAAGAAAAAAAAATTAGTCAACCAACCTAGAAACATTGTGATAGAATATTGTGATCGACATTGTTGAAGTTGGTTATGATGGAACTGTCTGCAAGGTCTATACTAATTCCAAATAATGCGTTAGAAATATATTTATCTATTTACTTATTTTTACTTTACGAACAAGAAAGACAGAAATTATTGATGTGCAACATCTTTCCTCTCGCTTTCCTGCAATTTGTGGGAGTGATTTCGTGAAATAGGACGGAAGTGTGTAACAGGAAGTCGCGAAAGCGCGCGCTATTTGATTTGATTTTAGAACGTAATGTTCAAGTGGCTTATTCCTTTTGTGGTAGGTTTTATTTCTTTTTTTACTAATATAAGGTGTGGTTTCAAATGTTACACATCATACGCGACTACTGTGAGGCTGGCTCGTTTTTTAATAATTCTTAGGGTGGAACTACTACAAAGGATATATGAATTTCAAACAGTGCATTACACAGTAAATTTAATTTGATATCTTTACAACCTGAAAAATTGACCATGAGAAAAAAACTAGCAAACCAGTGAACCAAATGTTCACCAATTAAAAAAAAAATGTATTTAATTAATTGAGAACTTCGGAGATTTTGTGTGGTTTCGTTTGAAATTCGTGATTTCTCGAAAACCGGAAGTGCTACGTTACTCAAATCCGGTTTGTAGTCTTATCAGACTATTCTTAACTTATAACTTAAATATTCTCTTTATCTATCTCTTACGGTTTGGCCGCTGAAACAGCACCACAGACAGACGGACGGACGGACGGACTTGTCTAATAGATAAGAGATATTCAAACTCATTAGAAGTTGTGTTTTCATCAAAACCATCATCTGATGATTCTATTTCAATTAGTTCTACTATAGCAGTAGAAATTTTATGTACCAATTAAAGCTAACTAAGGTCTTGCTTATTTGCCTTGTTTTCTACTTTATAGTATTTAAAAAGGAGTACCAGGTCTGCAGGCATATATTTTCTAGTACAGTCTTTTGAGTAGCCGATTTGTGTATTAGCTTTGGCTGTACTAGAAAATATATGCCTTCCAATTGGATTGAGGCATAGAAAGAAAAAATGTTTATTGGCCTATACCCTGCGTCAGCATAAAGCAACATAGAGTACTTTTAATTCTGGAAAAGTTTTAGGGTCCTGAGGGATTTAAAAAAACTAACGTTAAGTCGGATGATGTCGCGGGCGGTCGCTTGTATGTAATAAAAATGTTCTATCGACACTGGTGTCGATTCTGGCAGGGTTCTCTAAACTTAAAACTAAATTCGACATCAGTCTGTCCTTTTCAGTCTGTATAGAGAATGACAGAGATACACTGCTGTCAAATTTAAGTTTAGCTTTATAGAATCATGCCAGAATCGACACTATTGTCAAAATATCGTATCTTGTAAATGTTGTTGTAAAGACTTTTCGTCTTATTTCTCCATTCATATTTCCCTTTTTTTTTCAACATATAAAATACGTTATTTTTTGCATCAAAGTCGTTTGGGGTCAACAAACAACAATCATTGTAGATAAGTGACAAATAGCTAATTTAAGAATTACACTATCCTTGAATTAGCTAAATTGATAAATTTAAACATATAAATAAATAAATATTTCGAACACTCACACCAATTAGCCTAGCCCCAAAGTAGCACTGTAAAGGCTTGTGTTATGGGATACTAGGGTAACGGATAGAATACATATACTGTACATATATAAGTATATTTATATGAAATACATATTAAACATCCATGTCTGGAGTACAAATGCTCGTATTCATCACACAAACATCTGCCCCCACCGGGATTCGAACCCGGGACCTCTCGAGTCGGCGACGCCATGAAACCCGGCGTATAAACCACTCGGCCACGGAGGTCGTCAATATATATACATATATATATATTGTATAGAACGTGCTACACAAATGATTAATTTCTGTGTGCGCCGGATTGGAAATTCACACAACTAATTGGTAATTAATAATAATCCTATCGTATTGAAAAATGTGGTCATCGCATCATTGACACTTCCATATATCCCGTATCTATATTGTTAACATTTTATCAGTAACTGTATACTACCGATAATAATAATACAGAGTTGTTGAAATTACATTTAATAATTTGCGATAACAATATGTACGGAAATACTGAATGTGATAACTTATATCTCTGTTAGTGGGACTATTAGAGATTCAAGAATATATAAATAAAACAAGTTTTAACGGTTTAGATGCACT